AGCCTAGTCAGCAGCAAGCCCAAGCCATAATTAGAGCCCTATCTCAAAAACAACAACATAGGGACCTCAGGCTTCCACATAGACCCACAAATACATTCACACACAACAAACACAAGTTAAAAGAACAAAGATGAACAGAAACTGGATTAGGTTAACAGTCAGTTCAGATCTCCTGTCTATGGCTCTGTCCAGGGTATATACTTAATGGCTAGACTATAAGGCCCAAACTGTACAAATTGCTTGTTCTCTCTTGCTCTGGCTCTTTTTGGTATTTTTTAAGACATTCTTGTAATTTAGGGTAGCCTCAAGCTTCCCATGTTTTGCTTTTGTGACAGGTCTCAATCATCCCAGGTTGGCCTTGAACATCCTCCTTTTTCTAGATTAATAAGTGTGTACCACTACACCCAGTTTTCAAGATTACTATGTAGAATGGATGGCCTTGAACTCCTGACTGTCCTGCCTTCTGCTGGATACTGAGTACTAGACATACAGGCTTGTGTTTTCCTCTCTCCTCTTCCTTCCTCCTTTTCTCCTTTCTTTCTTTTCTTTTTTCTTTTTTTTTTTTTTTTTTTTTTGAGGGGGCAACTACATGTAGTTCTTTTTATCATGTTAAATGGCACTTAGGAGATAGAGACGGGAGCATTATGGCACATTCCAGGCCAGCCTGATAACCTTGTAAATCCTAGATCAGACCAGAGAGTTAGGCTACCTAGGGAGACCAATCTCCTCCTTCCCCCCCATTTTCTCTCTCTCTCTCAAAGAAATGGAAAATGTACAGTTAACTGGTTTAACCTACAAAAATATCTTGGGATCCACATGATCTCTTTAGCAGAAATTTAAAGTTCAGTCATAGAGTCCAGTGTGATATAGAATACTTAGTGACTTTAAAAGTATTTACTTTTAAATTCAACCATCCCTCATAATATCTACATTCTTTCTGTTTAGGTTTCCTTGGTCACTGCAGAAATCAGATCATTTCTATGATAATCTCAGGTTTCACAGCTAAAACCATCCTGTAGACATGACCAGCAGACCTTTTCTGCTGCTAACGTTGATTCCTGAGTCTCCTTTCTTCTTAAGTCACACCTTGGGTGGCTCCTTCAAGGTCCTCAGCAGTCCTTTCTGACTTCAAATCTAAACCATGCTTTTATTTCTGCACTTTTATTTTCAGTTGTTGGTTCTCATGTCCCTCCCTGTCCCCTACCTCTCTTCCTGAGACAGGATCTCACATATCTGATACTAACCTAAAACTCAGTTTGTAGCTAAGGCTGGCCTCAAACTCGTGATCCTCCTGACTCCGGCTCCAGAGTGCTGGAGATACAGGACACACATCAGCTCTGTTGTTGGTCCTTTCTTAAATAGACAAGACTTTTTTGTTACTTCAGAGAGACACCATGATCAAGACAATGTATAGAGGAGTTTATTGGGGACCTGCTTGCAATTTCAGAGATTTCCCCACCCCACTTAGGTCCATGATTGTGACAGGGAGTATGGCAGCAGGCAAGCAGGCATGGTGCCAGAACTACAGTAACTAAGCATTAATTAACATCTGATCCATAAGCACCAGACAGCAAGAGAGCGAGCTGGGAATGGCTTGGGCTTTTGAAACCTCAACGCCCACTCCCCAGTGGCAGACTTTCCAACAAGGCCACCACACCTCCTAATCCTTAAACAGTTCCACCAGTTTTGGATCAAGCTTCAAATGTATGAGCCTCTGGAGGTCATTCTCATTCAAACCACCACAGTTACACAAATTCAGGAAGGACCCTTACTTCCTTCTCAACTGAAAGTTATTAACCAGGAAGGGCAGTTGCTTTTGTATGTTCTACCTTAAGCATTTGCCATATTCTGGGCAAAAGGAACCACTGTACTGCTAACAAAGTAGCTGTTGGCCACAGTGCGTGCTGTGTCTTATTAGAAGACTTGGTGTTTGTTGTATGTGTTTATCTCTGTACTAGTGGCAGCTTTTTGTTTTGTTTTTCGAGACAGGGTTTTTTTGTGTAGCTTGGCGCCTTTCCTGGAACTCCCTCTGTAGTCCAGGCTGGCCTCGAACTCACAGAGATCCGCCTGGCTCTGCCTCCTGAGTGCTGGGATTAAAGGCGTGCGCCACCAACGCCCAGCTAGTGGCAGCTTTTGGACAAGGCATTGCCACTGTCATGTGGGGCTGGAGAGGTGGAAGTTTTCCTGATGAAGAACTAAGTAGAAATGACTCTCAGTGTGGCATAATGTCATTATTGCATGGGGAAAGAAGAGCAGAATTTGCATCTGCTGGGGAAGCAGTTTGGCTAGACCAGAGCACAGTTTCCAGAACTGCAAATTCCAAGTGTGTTGATTTGAAAAGCACCAGGTAGTTGCTCCTTATTTTTTGTAAAATTAAGCTGCTTTCCTTTTGTGGAGGTGTGTGAGGAGGGTAATGCATATTTTACTCAGGGCCTTCACAGTATAGCTAAGACTCTGCTACTGAACTGTATCCCCAGACCTTGAAGGAGGTTGGTTTTGTTTTGTTTTGTTTTTTTCTCTTTCTTTCTCCCCATCCCACCCCAAAAAAATGGGTAAAGGGAGAGGATCTGGAGGAAGTGTGATACTAAACAGCTAAAGGGTAGCAAACAGTGGCAGTGACTAAAATATAGTACTAGAATAAAATGAAGTACCAATTGTCCCCAACAGTGTTGCTATGTAAGGGCCTCAGACTCATGATTCTCCTTCCTCATCTTCCAGAGTGCTAGGATTGCAGGTGTTTGTCAGTATACACACAGTACTGCCTCCCCCTCCCTTTTTTTTTTTTAACAAGCTTACTGAATGTGACCTTCAACCCAGAGTCACAGATCAGTGTTTAGAACATTACCGTCATAAAATATAAAGTCTGAATGAAAAAAAGGAATAAAAAGGAAAGGAAGGGACATGACTGCTCCTCAGCATGGCGGAAGAGAAGGTTTATTCAGATAAAAGGGAGAGCAGAGATCCGTGGGAGAGTCCAGAGTGGATAAGACCAGGCTGAGCTGGGCCATGTGAGGAGAGGGGAAGGAAAAGGGAAGACAGGGGAACCAGGTGCAGCAGCCAGGCCAAAAAGGACGGCTAACCAAAATGTCTGGAATTATAGAGGGAAGAGCCTCTAGGGGACGGGCAGCTCAGCCCCTGGGCTGAGGAGGGCAGGGTAGAGGGCAGGGTATGCCAGCCATATCCAGTAACAGGTAGGGACTGAGGAATGCTGGGAGAATCTGGAGGCCAGTTCTCCTTTGATATGTTCAATAGGCACCTCAGCTGGTTGGTGGGGGGTGTTGAAACTTATTAAGTTAAACAGAGATATGGCTTAGCAGTTAAGAGCTCTTGCTGCTCTTGCAGAGGACCCAGGTTCAATTCCCAGCACCCATATGGTGGCCCATAGCCATTGTAACTTCAGGGGATCAGATATCGTCTTCTGACACATTAGGCACCAGGCACACACAGGTTTCATACATAGATGCAAGCTAAACATTCAAACACATAAAATAAGATAAATTAAAAATAAAATAAAATGTAAAATTTGGGGTACAAAAAATCTTGGGGCTAGAGAGATGATGGCTCAGTGGTCAAGCACTTTCTACTCTTGGAGAAAACCAAGGTTTGGTTCATGGTACCCGCATCAAGGGCTCACAACCACCTGTAGCTACAATAAATGAGATACAATGCCCTTTTCTAGCCTCCACACAGGCACTGTACACACGTGGTACATACAGAGAGAAACAGGCAACCTGTATAATACATAAATAAAAATAAATTCTAAAATGTTTATTATTTATTTTTTCTGAGACAGGGTCTCTGTGTAAGCCTTGGCTGACCTGGAACTCACTCTGTAGACCAGACTGGCCTGTAACTCACAGAGATTGGCCTGCCTCTGCCTCCTGAGTGCTGGGATTAAAGGCTTTGCCACCACAGCCCAATCCTAATGAATAAACATTCTGCCTGCCTTTTTCCCAGCACTTGGGAGGCAGAAGCAGGCGGATCTCTGTGAGTTTGGGGCCAGCGTGGTCTACAAAATGAGTTTCAGGGCAGACTCCAAAGCTACACAGAGAAACCCTGTCCCGGAAAAAAAAAAAAAAAAAATTAGCCGGACATAGTGGTGCATACATTTAGTCCCAGCACTCAGGAGGCAAAGGCAGGTGGGTCTCTTATGAATGTGAGGCCAGCCTGGTCTACATAGTGAGACCCTGTCTCACACACAAAATAATGATTGGTCTGAGTGTTTTGTCTGAATGTATGTATGTGTTAACTGTTTGCTAAAGCATCCTCTTACTTGCAGTACTCTTTCTTGAGATAGACCGCTGTGGCCAGGTTATGAATGTGTATGATTTATGCAGTTTTTGCTGTAAATGTTCTGTTTTCATAGAAAGTAGAATTCTTTCATTACAGAGTCAGGCAGCCTATAACTGTCGAAGTCTGTCTAGGTTTTCATTCTTCCTAAATGCCTAAAAATGTGACATTTGTGGTAGGATAGAAAGGCAGGGAGGAAGAATAAGTCTGAGAATTTCACCTTCAAAAACAATTTTGGCTCGGCAGTGGCGGCACATGCCTTTAATCCCAGCACAGACAGATCTCTGAGAGTTTGAGGCCAGCCTGGTCCACAGAATGAGTTCCAGGACAGCCGGGGCCACACAGAGAAACCCTGTCTCAACAAACAAAGAAGCAAACATTTTTCTTTCAACTTCTTCACGAGGGTATTGGAATTGAAGGTTTAGAGATAAGCTCTGTAAGGTAAAGATGAGTTGTCCACAGCAGCAGCTTCCTTCCCAGCTTCCCTGTTGTTACCACAGAGGAGAGGGTGCCTGCTCTTAGTCACTCAGCCATCAGTGACCCTTTCACCTGATGCCCACTAAAGGTACTTCTGAGAGGGCTTGTTTTCTTTGTCATCAAATCCTTAAGTTTACTGTCAGTGTGTATGGCTGCTAAGCCCTTCAGTATGGGAGAACGTAGTTTCTAAGAGAAGTTCTTGGATGGGGCCCAAGGTAGATGAAGTCACCTACCTCAGTGTCTTGAGAGGAATCCAAGAAAAGGTGCTGTTTTGAAGCTTGAAAGATCCTATAAAGAAAGGGCAGGTCTTGAGCCAAGCAGCTTTTGAGGTGGTAACCAGCTCAAACAAGAGCTGGCATGTGCCAACGAAGTCTCTTACCCTGGCTCCAGCAGCGACAACTGAAGAGAAGTGTGTGGCAGGCGCTGTGAGTCAGAGGGTTGTTTGTGGCTTTGGCTGTTGTGTGACTGGAAATGGAGTAGGAAGAGTTTGGAGCCGGTGTCTGAGGCTGGAGAACACCCCCCACCACTCCCACTACCCACCCCTGTTTACTCACTGTTTTATAGCTTTTCTAGGACAGTCTTTTAGTGTTCTGGTTGCCAAGACTGAAGCCAGGGGGGTTAATTAGGTAGAATCGAGACCCGTAGCCTTTCTGAAAATATCCTAAGCAAGAGTTCTGTTTATTTGGAAGTAGTTAAGTTTTCCTAAAATCCCATTCTTGTCAGGTTGGTTTTTTAAAAGAGGGTAGACATGCCGGGCGGTGGTGGCGCACGCCTTTAATCCCAGCACTCGGGAGGCAGAGCCAGGCGGATCTCTGTGAGTTCGAGGCCAGCCTGGGCTACCAAGTGAGTTCCAGGAGAGGCGCAAAGCTACACAGAGAAACCCTGTCTCAAAAAACCCAAAAAAAAAAAGAGGGTAGACAGTTACTGTGGCCAAGCCAGAGAGACTAGTAAGACCTCAAGTTGCGAGCAGGGTAAGCTATCTGAGGGAAAAGGAAACACAGCACTGATGTGGGAAGGAGATGCCACTGTGCCTGTGGACCCAGTTTCCTCTAGTTTGTTTGTTTGACTTTGCTATGCTGAGGATTGAACCCAGAGCCTTTCACAAGCTAGGTAAGTGCTCTTCTATCAGTAAGTCCTGCAACCAACAGCTGCCCTCACTGTTGTATCTTTTATAATTTAATTACATTACTGCATGTGTGTGTGTGCTGGGGGAGCACCACAGGCACTAGTGTTGAGGTTAAAAGCAGTCTCTTGGCTTGCTTCCACCATGTGAGTCCAGGGATAGAGCTCAGATCACGAGGTTTGATGAATCTAGCTACCTCCTCCCCACTCCCCACCCCTGTTAGTCTTTACTGGTCCTGGCAGCCACCAGAGTTTGCTCCACAGGGTTGTGGGCTGGAGATCATTTCTTAATCCCTGTCTTGGAGTACCAAGCTCCAGCTGTGCTATCTAGGCCCTGGGATAACTGTGAGGCATTTGGTCACTGTAGACAAAAGCCTGTTTTGTCAGAGAGAAGATTAGGGCAAAGTACAAGCATTGCTATCTCTGATGCCTTCAGGGCCAACTGTCTATTTGGCAAGAGGGGATGCCTTGACCTTGTGAGTTAACAGCAACCTGTTCTTTTGTTTCTTTGCTGTTTTCTACTAAAGAGGGTTCAGCATTCAGGCTTCAAAACTTACCATTAATGTTCTTAAACTTTTTTTGTGAAGGTACTTGTCACCAGTCTTGATGATCTGTGTTCAATCCCTGGCACCCACATGGTGGAAGGTTTTCTCTAACCTACCCATGCATACTGTGGACAGCATACACACACATAAAGTGTAAAACAAATTTTTAAATAGGGGCAGCTGTTGGTTGTAGGCATAGCTCTGGAGAGCACTTGCCTATCATATGTACACATACACACAAAATAACTATAACAAAGGATTGTAAAAGTAGTGGATTAGTGCCTTACAGAAAATAACTGGCAATGTGCAGAAAATAAAAATCACATTTAGGGTTGGGGATTTAGCTCAGTGGTAGAGCACTTGCCTAGCAAGCATAAGGCCCTGGGTTCGATCCTCAGCTCAAAAAAAAAAAAATCACATTTAATTGGGTCTAATTTTTTGTTTGTTTGTTTTGAGACAAGGTCTTAAAACCTAAAGCTGCTCTTAAACTCCATATATAGCCAAGGCTGGCACTGAACTTCTGATCCTCCTGCCTCTGCTTCCAGAATGCTGGGGTGAAGGGCTTGAAGGGTGAAGCCACCTCCCTGGGTGCTGGCAGGCATTATGCTGCTCTGTCACTGACCTACAACCTCAGACCTCTTCTTATGTTTTACTTTGGAACAGGAACCTACTAAGTGACCCGGGCTAGCCTAGAACTCCCTCTAGGCAGGCCTTGAATTTGTAATCTAACTTGCCTCAACTGGGATTACAGGCTTCCATACTAAGTCCAGCTGTGTTTTTAATCTTGGAAGGAATTTCTGTAATTTAGTAGAAGTGGTGGAGACTATTGGTTCAGGACTGGTTTGGGTGTGATTTATACCTCATGAATCTCATTCTCTTTCTATAAGCATCTTTAATTTTTCTCATTAGAAAATTCACCAAAATCTCGCTTGGCTAGATTTTATTACACTTGATGAGATCTCACCCTGAAGTCTGAAATTCATTTTCTTTATTTATGCTTTTATAATTTGTCTCACAGTTTTTACCTTCGTTGTTACTATGTTCAGAAGTCTGGGTGTTTATTTTTTTAAACTGGTGGTAGTCAGTAGTTATAGGGGGTAGTAGTTCTTTTAAATGCTTGATGTTTACTTCTTAGAAGTATTGTCTGTGATATCTGATCACTTAGTAATCTGCTTTCATTAAGGAGCTAGTCAGGAAATAGGCTTGAGATCTCTTGTATAAAAAGAAAAGGGCTGCCATTTGTTATGGGGCATGATTGTAATCCCAGCACCAGGGAGGCTGAGGCACGAATGCGGCATATCTTAGGCTAGAATCCAGCTTGAGCTACATAGTGAAACTGTTTCAGAGGGGAGGGGGAGGGGGGACACGGGGACAGGAAGGATTCATGAGATGGGTAGAAGATGCAGACTTTCCTGTTGTATTATGACAAACTGCTCCACAGGAACCTCACAGTAACATTTCACTTAAGGAGGCTCTACAGAAAGGAGTCCACTTGTTTTTTGTATTATATTTTGTGTGACTTTATATGTTCAAGCTTCTGCTTATTAGAAGTTTAGATTTATGCTTAACTTTTAATAGGTTTGTGATAAGAAAACAAATTTTGGTCGAGTAGAGAATATGTTTTAGATTTATTGTACTGTTTTATGTTAAAAGAGGACAAAAGGGGCTGGAGGGATGGCCCAGCAGTTACGAGCATTGGCTGCCCTCCCAGAGGGCCCAGGCTTAATTCCTAGCACCCATATGGTGGCTCACAACCATCTATAACTCCAATTCCAGGGGTTCTGACGCCCTCTTCTGACCTCCTTGAGCACTTAGGCTCACCCATAGTACACAGACATGTGTACACTCAAAACCTTCACACAGAAGAAGAATATATTAGTTTAAGAGTGTTTGTTACCTAGGGTTTTCCTCCCTTGAGACCACTCCTGCTATCCAGAGTTCTGTTTTACTTTTCCCTTTTAAATTTTTTTGCTTTTGTTTTCTGAGACAGGGTCTCACTTTGCAGCCTTGGCTGGTCTGGAATTCACTATGTATACAAACCAGCCTCAAACTCCTGAGCAATAGGATTAAAGCCATGCAACACCATCCCCAGCCATACTCCCTCCCCCTTTGAAACAGTGTCTCACTATATAGCCCTGGCTGGCCTTGAACACCTCATGTAGATCAGGTTGGCCTCAAACAGAGATCCACTTGTCTGTGATTCCTGAGTATTGGAATTAAAGGCATGTGCTACCATATCTAGTTCACTTATTATTAAGGGGTTGGGGGCGGGGGGGGGGGGGGGGGGGGGGGGGGGGGATTGAGAGACCATGGCTCTTCACCTACCATGGGGCAACTCTCTGGAGTCAGTTCTCCCCTTAAATCATATGGAAAGCCCTTGGTCTTGGTGTCAGGCTTAGAGGCAAACTCCTTCACCTAGTGGGCCTCTGAGTTGGCACTCTAAGGGCAAGAGTCAGTCTAATCTGTGTGACTGGCAGTCTATTAAGTCATCAGTAAACAGCTGTTGAGTGTGAATTTATTTAGTGTGACTTGGAAATGGCTAGAAGATATTTTTCAGAATAATATTCCCTGCTAACTTGACTGCAATTCCTTTGGGATTTGAAGGTTTCACAGTTTCCCATTAAAGCACACACACTGGAGAGAGATAATACTTAACAGCTATTATCAACAACCATCTTATGGGAAGTAGCTGCTTTCTAATCTGAGAGAGACCTTGCAGGCTAAGATTTGGGAGTGAAAGAAAGGAACGGGGCACAGAGTATTATGGCAGCAAATATTGCTGATCCCTTTTTGCCTCAGAATTACTGTGTTTGTTTTGTTTTTTGAGACAGGGTTTCTCAAATTGAGAGAAATTGGGACTCGCCTTCTGTCCTAGCATCCCAAGTGTTTTCATAAAAGGTGTGAGCCACCATACCCAGCTTTACTGATTTGTTTTCTTAATTTATAATGAATATCATTTCTCTGGGCATGCCAGAGCACTATTTAGGAACATTGGTTCTGCTATGCAGCCATAGGATTAGATCACACGGAAGTGAATCATCTGCTGGGCGTGGTGGTGCACACCTGGTGTGCCAGCACTGAGGAGGCTGAGGCAGGATGATTAAGTTTGAGATCAGCGTGGACTATATAAATGATTTCAGACTGTATCCCTGGGTTTTGTTTTTTGTTTTGTTTGGTTGTTGTTCTTATTAGTATGTTTTTGTTTTGCTTTTTTTGTTTTGTTTTTTGAGACAGAGTTTCTTTTTGTAGCCTTGGCTATCCTGGAACTAACTCTGCAGACCAGGCTGGACTCGAACTCATTGAGCTCTGCCTGCCTCTAAACCCCCCAAGCGCTAGCATCAAAGGCATGTGCCACCACTGCCCAGCCTTTTTTTTTTTTTAAAGTCACTTTGATTAATTGAATATCTGCATTGGTTAGGTTATTTAGCACTTTGTGATTATAATGGACATGATAGGAGTCTGACCATCTACAAATAGTTAATAGCTTTATATTGACTACTAAGAGACCTGATCTCTAAATTTGACAAGCTGTTTTGTCAGTGAATGTCATCTATTAGTTACCTAGAGGATTGTTGAGCACAAGATAAGATAATAAATGAAAAGCACTGAAATAGATATCGTGTGGATTATGCTAAGGTATACTCATGGTGGTTTGGTTTTTGGTTTGTTTTTTTTTTTTTTTTCAAGACAGGGTTTCTTTGTAACACCTCTGGCTATCCTGGAACTCAATCTGTAGACTAGGCTGACCTCAAACTCACAGAGATCCACCTGCCTCTGCCTCCCGAGTACTGGGATTAAAGGTATGCGCCTCCACCACCTGACTGTTTTTGTTATTTTGAGGCACAGTTTCATGTATCCCAGGTTGGGCCCGAACTCACTGTATAACTGAGGAATGACCTTGAATTTGTGTATGATCTTTTTGCTTTCACCTCCTCGCTGGGATTATAGCATGCACTAAGCTGTGTACCATGGTGCTGATGTATGTGGTGCTGGGGCTCAAAACCCAGGGCTTCTTGCATGATGGGTAAGCACTTTGTCAACTGAGATGTATCTCCAGCTGCCTCCCCCTCTCCACCCTCCCCAGCTGAGGACCGAACCCAGGGCCTTGCTCTACCACTGAGCTAAATCCCCAACCCTTTTCTTTAGTCTATCACACTGTTTTTTCTCAAAGCACTAATCTGTCTAGTTTACTATTTGTATACTTGTGTTTATCATCTTGCTCTCCCTGCCAGAATAAAAGTCTTACCAGGGCTGCTGCTTTTGGTTTTTGATTTTAGTTTTATTCATGTCTGTTTCCAAAACACCTGTAATAGTACCTGGCCTAATAAATATTAGTCAGGTTATAATTCAAAAGTCCAGGGTTATTTGAAACTGGAAAATATTTTCTCTGTAGAAAATAGTAAAAATGATCATTTTTTTTTGTTTGTTTGTTTCCTTTTTGTTGTTTTTTCTTTTTTCAAGACAGGGTTTCCCTGTGTAGTTTTGGTTCCTGTACTGGATCTCGCTCTGTAGACCAGGCTGGCCTTGAACTCACAGAGATCCTCCTGGCTCTGCCTCTGGAGTACTGGGATTAAGATGCCACCGCCCAGCCTGTTCATGTTTTAAATAACTTTTTAAGTTGTGTCACTGAAAGATATAGTGGAAGCCCTATGAGTATCCACAGGATGAGTTTATGGTGAGCTTCATAGTCAGATGGCCGTTAAGTAGGGGAACCCCAGATGCCAATATCCTTAGGTCTTTCCTTATGGGTTTCTCAGTTTCTTTCAAAAAGCCTCTTCCAATTCTCCTGGAGGGTGAAGACTTTCTGATTTTCCTGAGCCAAGTAAGAGAGGTGTGCAGGTTCAGCGTTTAGTTTTCAGCATTCCCTGCCCATGTTTAATCTCCTTAACTATAATATTCATGTTTACTCTGCTTGAAGCACTCTAGTCTAGAGATCCTGTGTGAGTTACTTGAGAGAATTAAACATTTTATCTCTTGAATGAAGGAATATGTCTGAGTGAGAAAAATTAAGGATCAAACTGCTTCTTACCCACTTTTAATCAGCTTTATTCATTCTAAATCATCAGTTCTGAGCCTGAATTAATAGATGCTACCAATTCTTAGGTTTGGGGAAAAGAGTCTATAGTTTATGATTTTTCTCCATTGCAGGCTTAGTATTCACTCTAGCAGCCTGTGTTGGCTTAGTCTCTTAGCCAGGCATTTGTTCTCCAGGTTCCACGTGTTTCTGTCATCAACTCCAACTTCCCTTCTTGTGTGTTTTCTAAATCTTTTATAATAGTTTAAGGATGCTTTTGTGTATTATTGCAGCCTTTCTTTTTAAAAGATACTTGTTTTTCTTTTTGTTTTGTTTATATTTATTAAGTATATGCTTGTGTATTGAATGTAGGCACACACATATGTGAGCAGAGGTAAAAGGACAATTTCTACCAAGTGATTCCATGAGTGAAACTCAGGTAGGTTATCAGACTTACCTGAGAGCCGTCTCACCAACCCTCCAGCCAGCTAGCCAGCCTCCCTCCCTCCATCCATCCCTCCCTCCCTTCCTTCCTTCCTGTTTTTCTTGCTTGATAAAGCAAGGGAGTTGAAACTCAGAGGCTCACACATTGCAGGGTAAGGGAATGTACCACTGAACTCTATTCCCAGCACCACCACTCCCAATTTTAGTTGACAAATTTATCGAGATAATAGTGGTCACAGGAAGTTTTTAAGAATAGAGGAGTAAATTATTTCAATGCTTAGTTTCTGCCAGTAGTATCTTAGAGGGAGGGGGTGTTTAGTTTGACACAGAGTCTTACTATGTAGCTCTGTATGTGCTGGAACTTGAAATGTAAACCAGATTGGCCTCAAACTCACAGAGATCTACGACCTCTACCTCCCAAGTGCTAGGTTTAAAGGCATGCCCTAACACTTTCTGCCCAATAGTAACATTTTACAAACTGCTGCTAACTATAACAACCAGGCTACAATATTACAGTATGGATGAATTCCACCAATTTTATTTAAATTTGCCTTATTAAACTTGTCCATCTCTATATTTAGTTTTGTATAATTTTATCACATGGATAGATGAGATAGATTTTTAGTTTTTGTTTGTTTGCATTGCATTTGCTTTTATTTGGAAAGCTTTTTAATAATTATTTTCAATTAAGTGTGTGTGTGTGCAAGGTTATGTGCACATTATTGGGTACTGGAAGCCAAACTTGGATTCTTTGCAAATTGACTGTCAAGAATCTGAACACTGAAGCACCACAGTGATCCTTGGTTTGAGTTTTATACTGTACCAACCTCATAGGCACATGCATACATGCACATCTACC